TTACTATGTCTTTATATATATATATATGTATGTACATATATTAATTTATTTTCCTTTAATTCAAACCTGTAGGCTCGATGGTTGGAGGAAAAGATCATACGGCAAGACCAAATCAAAGCAATTCAAGAGTCTATAGCCGGGAATTTTTAATGACCAGGTCATCGATTCCAAGGGCGAGTTCTACTTCGACCCAACACTGCCATGGAAGCCAAGCTAGAGGATGAGAGGAAACTTGTTATATCACAACAACTGTAATGCAATCTTTTGTAATATATGCACATGAAATATAATATAATGTAAAATACATATGCATGCATGCATGTAAATATATATATGATGCATGCATATATATATATGTATATATATATATTTCTATGCTTGAATTGTGTCATTTAATACGTTCATTGTGCTTGAACCGAAACATACTATACGCATGTATAAATGTATTATTAGCAGCGTACAATACGACTTCGAAAACCTATTTTGAAAAGAAAACAAAAAAATGAAAAGAAAAGAAAAAAAAACCTTTAGTCCCGGTTCGTATTACCAACCGGGACTAAAGGGTGCCGGCCTCGTGGCATGTCAAGAGGCACCTTTAGTCCCGGTTGGTGTTACCCACCAGGACTAAAGGTCCCCCTTTAGTCCCGGTTCCTGACCCGGGACTAAAGGACCCCCTTTAGTCCCGGATGCTTACTCCCGGGTGGGGAACCGGGACTAGAGGGGGTTCCCCACCGGAAGTAAAGGCCGTCTCTGTACTAGTGAAACTTAATTGCGCCTGAGACTGCTCTCGCTCATAGGGGCTTTTGTATATATATCACCACAACTGGGCAAGGTGATGATGGATTAGTAGTACTTGTTTATAGGTGGAATGCATGGCAAAACTGATTGAGCTTGCTTGTCCATACCCCATGATGCCAAGAGGCTTACGGTGCGCATGAGATTTCTTTTTTCCTGTGTCGACCTGAGTCCAAGGCCACACAGAGCCCAAGCGATAGGGTGCCTTGGCACTGCATCTGCTCATGCTCTGCTCTGCTTTGTTTTTGCTGTGATCTACTTCCTCTTTGCTCTGTTCACGTATATACGATGCACAACTTACAAAAGCTTACGGAACAGACAGAACACAAAACGGGCAACCGGAGCTCAAAATCTCGTGAAAATGGACAACACAAAAGAAAGGACCTGGCAAACCAGCCTGCCCGGTTGGGTGACCCGCCTGCCCGGCGCTCGGACATCCTGGCCGGCTGGAGCACTTGGGAGGCTGGCTGGACAGTGAAGAACCGGCCTGGCCGGTCTGCTCGGCTTAGGTACCCGAAATTCTTCCAAAAAATCCAAAGTTGGATCAAACGGCCTCTAAAAATTCCCACAATTTACAGAGATGATTCTTAGGCGTATTAGATGATATCCCCAAAGAATCAAACCCCACAAACTCCGGAAATGAAACAGATCTGAATATCCATCAAGGGAAGTGGGTTTTCTCAGGAAATCCTCCCAAGGGTGAAAAATTGTGCTTGTGGTGAATCTACCTGATTCATTTGGCAGGGATGTTCATTTAATGTCCTTGCACAAATTCAACCCAACAAAACAACCTTGAAACCTTAGGAACTTAAGATTGAGCAAAACGGTGAAGAGGGGGGCAGAGAGTAGGGGAAAGCCAAATCATATTAGAACAAAGACTCAGATCTCAGAGGACATGATTGCTTTATTTCCGAGATCTACCAGGTCTGGATCTTACAAAGGACAACTTGCGGAAAACTCAAACACAGATACTGTATTAACCTCTCACACTATGGATCTCAATAACATTAGAACTAGACAACTACATACTGAGGAAACCTAGAGAATGACAATAGGAAAGATGTGCAGATTAGGAGCAGTCATACTCTTATTTATAGAGCTATTGCACAATCCCTAAATCAAAAGGACTATCTCCTAAATCATTTTTATATTAATGGAAATCAAACAACAATTTGTTTTTTTTACTTATTAGCTTATTTCAAATATTAATTTTAAAAAATGAAGGGAGTAAACCTCCTAGTAGGTCACACAACGAATCATACTAAGCACATGATAGGTCGAAGTTGCGGCCATTATCATTGTTCTTAGTGTACGCACCAAAGGTAGCCAGTACTAAACTCCAAGGTCATACCAATCGGGCTGCTCAGGAGCATTTGTTTTGACCAACTTGCAGCCCTTTCGTTGTCATATATTTTTTTTGGTAATATAAGATGTTGGTAATTAAGAATATGTTGAGGACACACTAATTTAGTCCATTTTTTGAACTAACGAGCTTATTCAAAATGTTATCTGAAAAAAGGACGTCATGGCAATCCGACTACTCAACAGCATTTTGTTACGACCAACTTGCTGCCCTTTCATTGTCATATATATAGTACAAAATCAAACAACAATTAATGCACAAACCTAATCTACTTTAAAACTCAACTGATTTCTTTAATCACCAGTATAATAGATACATACTAGTGCTAAACTCCAAAGAGGTCACACCAATCCGACACAGCATTTGATTTCTTTGTGCCTTTTAGAAGTGCATTATTGTTTGGTCATCTCGTCCAGTTTAAGACTAAGTATATGTAGGTCAATTATAAGGCAAACCAACAGAAGAAGACGTTTGTTATTGTACTGGTGAAGCTCTTGCCGTATTGTCTGGGTGTAGCAGGTGGAGAAAATTGTCTTGTCATTTAAAGCAAAGCTGGTGATATAAATAAATAACTCCAAAGTAGAGTTGGTGGCAGTGCACCATCGTTGTACCCATTGACAGCATGGTGCAATCAGAGCAAACTTGATCAGTAAAAAAGTGTTACCAAGAAATTTAATTGCGCCTCAGGCCGCCGGCTCTTGCTGATAGGAGCTTTTGCATATATATTGCCACAACTGACCGAGTTGATGATAGATTAGTAGGACTAGTTTACAGGCGGAGTGCGTTGCAAAACTGATTGGGCTTGTTTATCCATACCGATGATGCCAGGAGGTATACGTTGCGCTTGAGATTTCTTATTTCGTTTGTCGACCTGAGTCCAAGGCCACAGAGAGCTCAAGAGAGGTATACGTTGCGCATGAGATTTCTTTTTTTCCTGTGTCAGCCTGAGTCCAGGGCCACCGAGAGCCCAAGCGATAGGGTGCCTTGGCACAGCATGACTATTGCTCTGCTTTGTTTCTGCTCTGATCTACATCCTCTTTGATCTATTCATATATACAGGATGCACAGCTTTTCCCATGCTTCAAAGTATTATTAAGCAGGCAGGTTGTCTTCCGTTTTCATTCCATCCCAGAAAGCAGAGGGCTTGTATGTAGATATTGGTGTTGTGCGTACGAAACGGCACAGTATATGGTGCAGCTGCGGAGATAGGAAAAGCAGAGGACAACCCCATAATAATCGACATGATATCGTGTTTTGGGCATCGACATCAAGAATGATTTGCCTGATTTCAGGAACGTCGATCAGGATGAGCCTACCATGTCTGCTCGCTTTCAGTTATTGTTGTACTACAAAAGATTTCATCACCACATGTTCAGTTCATTATAAAATCCAGGACCTCAGGTCCATTACTTGAACAAATATACATAGGCCCATTACATAAAAAAAATTGTTATGCAGTGAAGAAATATACACATGCCCAAGACTACAAGAGCATCGCCAGGCTTTCCAGCACCTTGGTCTCCGGTTAACAAGATTTGGCAGTATGTCATCGGGAGGCTTTCATCAACAGCCTGCATGTCACCAGGAATGATCGATAGCACCATGCGGCTCTGACTCCTACTGGCCACTGCAAGCTAGCACCATGCGGCTCTGCCATAAGCAAGGATCCCTTCATGCAACAACTAATTATTACACTATCAATGCAAAAATAAAGATACTTGAAAATACTAGAGTGCATAGTAAGGGGTACTACGTAAAGCAGTACGACTGCACATGTAGGTGCACTGAACATGTAGGTGAGCCAAAAGTAATACTAATTACCTCAATATCAAACGTCATTTATTTCTGATAATATGGCCTTGCCACGCAAGAGCGAGTTTCTTATCCTGCAAACTAATTTTGGCGCCGAATGATCATACGGTTACTCCGTTACATCCTGATGCTGCTGTCGAGTGAAGCATTCCTGAACACATGATACAACATCATTCCACAAACGAAGGAGTAACAGCATCACACGGTTACTCTGTTAATTACTTCCTGAATCCTGATGCTGCTGTCCAGTACGTGGAGCACTCCTGAACACATCATACAACATCGTTCAACAACCAAAGGAGTATCTACCGCCTAGCAAGGGTTGACCAAGTGGAGCAACTTGCCTCTGCCACTCTCTACCTAGGAGGACTTGATTCCTTTGAGCAAACAGTTTCTGTGAGCTGCTGTCTTCCAAGGTAGGCCACCATATATATACAAAGGAGCCTAGGCCCATAAGCAAAAGAACCCGAGCATGATGGCCCGGATTTTTTTCGTTACATTTTCGTTAGCATGCAAAGAAGGCAAAGTAGCAAGGGGATATGGTGCTTGCAGGGGTCGGAAAAGCGGAAGGACAAACTCTGGACGGAGGAGAACACCATTAGGGCCCAAAAGTAGCAGAGTTGCAGGTGTTGCGTTTCTGCTATGCTCTGTTACGTTTTCCTTCCTTTCAAAGCAGAGGATGTGTGTATACGGTGCATATATATATTGGTGCAGGGTACAAAGCATAGGATTAACATACACTTCTTGCAGGCATCGGAAAATCAGAGGACAACCTTGATTATAGTACTTACAGGACAAATATGAAGCTTTTCTTTAAAAGTCCTTACATAGATGATTTTTTCACCAATTCAAACATCAATTAATAAAAATACAAAAGTCTCCTCTTTTGAGATATTGGTTTGACCGGCTTTTCCATCCGCCACTCGCAACCTCCTTCCTCTCCCCTGTTTTCCATCCGCCGCTCCTCACCAAATCCCTACCCGCCGCCGCCCCTCTGTCTCGCTGTCCTCCCGTCAGGTAGCAAGCAGGGATGACCGGTAAGGTCGAGGACCCGGCTATTATCGGGATCGACCTCGGCACCACCAACTTGTGTTTCGGCCTCTGGCAGCACGACCGCGTCGAGATCATAGCCAACCACCAGGGCAACCACACCACCCCGTCCTACGCTGCCTTCACCGACTCCGCGCGCCGCATCGGTGATGGCGTCAAGAACCAAGTCGCCATGAACCCCATCAACTCTGGTAGCATTGAGAACCGTCTTCGGTGAGCTGACCCAGACCCCCTCTCCGGCAGTCCGGCCGCCTTCGTTGTACTGAACTCCTGATGGTCCCTGCTCTACTGCTTGTTGGGCTAGATTAGATCTGGTGATTTTGGCTCCCGTTCTAGCACAGCCAGTATTGATTTTTGCCGTATGCCAGTGCAAAGTTCTTGACTTCTCAAGGGATCCTTGCGATGTCGTTTATCAGTTTGAGTACCTTTGACGCATCTGTTGCTGGTTGCTAGTTATTTCGCTCAGAGCTACTGGATCTACGCACCTGCTTAGTTCAGTTGACTGCTGTTGGGATGGTTGACTTCAGGTTGACTCTTGTTTCTCTTATGTGTCAACTTAATTGGTAACATAAAGAATATTATTGTTTTATTATACTTCGATTGCCACATAATTTGCCTGCATGTGCCCTGTCATTAGGCTGTTGTGTGTGAGCCAGAAAAAAAAAACTTTTTTTTATTGAAGGGGGGAATTGAGGATACTATATCCATAACATGCGTCTCCATCTCGGATGATGATCCAAGTACATCATGCACTACCATGTGATCTTCCTTAACAAAAAAAAAAATCTCCTTTTTCTATGTTTTCTTTTTTTCATCAAACGGAGATGAAGCTATTCAACAGTTAACTGAATTTAAATGACTTTCCCCTTTTGAGAGTTTGTTTCCTTGCGGTGTTTATTGTGCAACCTGTGATGTAAATGTACCAATTCGCTGAGAATTAGTGATTATTATTATTCAATTCAAAACACAATGACCATCTTTTTGCTGAGGTTGCGTGCTTTTACTTAATGCATTGTTTTAATACATGAAGAAGCATTAGGGATTCTTGCAATGCCCTTGGTATCTGACACATGGCTTTTTTTTAGCTATATGCGGCATGAAATATGGCAAATAGCTTGGAGGAACGGATCTTGTGACATTGGTTGCTCCTTAATTAGCCTCCAGTTACTATAGCAGTTTACATGCCAACATTATCCTTTTAGGTTTGTGTAAACCTATCCTGGTGCTTTATTTTGTTGGTTCTAGACTAGAATAACCATACATCAGCTATCTGCAGTTGATCTAATCATTGGCCTGCTGTATGCTCATTCAAGCGTGTGTCGTTCAAGCTATTGCCTTTAGTTGTGAGCTTAACATTATCATTAGTTCTTGAATGACAAGTTTGTAGTCCACATGATTTAAATGAATTTTACCCACAACCATTTGTAGAATAGTTATCCACTTCTGAATGTATTATACTTTTAATAGACAGTTACTAGTCCTTGTATTAGCGTTATATGTGATTTTACTTCCCTGTAGGAAGCCTATACTGATTTGTATTGGTGATTTTCTTTATTAGATTAGAAACATATCATTTATGTGTACAAAAATTATACTGCAATTACTGACACATAATATCCTTTCTACAGATGCCAAGCATCTCGATGGTAGGAGATTTACGGATGCTTCTGTACAGACTACGTACAGAGCGACTTTAAGCTCTGGGTCTTCAAGGTTATTTAGGGGCCTGGTGACAAACCCACGATTGTTGTTAAGTACAAGGGCGAGGAGAAGCAGTTCGCTGCTGAAGAGATATCTCCTCTATGGTTCTCAACTTCTCATCAAGATGAGGGAGATTGCTGAAGCTTACATTGCTGACACTATCAAGAACGCAGTTGTCACCGTTCCTGCTACTTCAATGACTCCCAGAGGCACGCCATGACGCCACCAAGGATGCTGGGGTAATTGCTGATATAAATGTTATGCATTTTATTAATGAGCTGACCGCTGCTGCTATTGCATATGGTCTTGACAAGAAGGCTACCAGCGTTGGTGAGAAGAATGTTATTATATTTGACCTTGGAGGCGGTACTTTTCATGTCTCTCTTCTCACCATTGAGGAGGGTATCTTTGAGGTCAAGGCCACAGCTGGTGACACTCACCTTGGTGGTGAGCTATATCCTGTTGCCTATGATGCTGCTGTCCAGGCTGCCATCTTGAGTGGTGAGGGCTATCACTACCGGAAACAGTAGAATTGCCGAGTGCCTGAGGGTTTGCCGAGTGCATTTCATCGGGCACTCGGCAAACATCCTATTTACCGAGTGTTTTTAATTCAACACTCGGCAAACATATAGCACTCGGCAAAACCCAACTTTGCCGAGTGTCTAATAAAAAACACTCGGCAAACTACAACGAAACACTCCGCAAACACGGACACTCGTCAAAGTAGAGGCACGTGCGCTGGGCGTGCGGCGGCCATGTGACAGCCGTTGGGTGCGCCGTCCTGCCGTTATAGCTTTACCGAGTGTCCGTTAGAGACACTCGGCAAAGACAAGGTTTGCCGAGTGTTTTTTATTGACACTCGGCACACTGATATTTTTGCCGAGTGTTTTTTTGACACTCGGCAAAATGATGTTGTTGCCGAGTGTTTTTTATTGGCACTCGACAAAATCATGATTTTTCCTCTCCTGCCTTCCAAACTTTTTCTGCACTCCACATACAACATGTGGTACTACATGTTAAAATTTGGCATATTTCTCGATCTGCTTGCTATATTTAATTAATTTATTGCATTTAGAGGAATTTTTTGGTTTAAGTCAACTTTGAACTGCAAGTGATTCAAATAATGGAATAAATTGAGTGGAGAAATCATATTCATGTTATTGAGTCCATTTTGGGGCCTTACTCGGGAAATGAAAATAATTTTTGAACATTTTGTTCAGGAACCGAATGGTTCTTAAATTCTAAAAAAAGCAAACCAAGTATGAAAATGACGAGATTTGTCAAAATCTCATGATGAACGTGGAGACCGTGGAAAAAATTGAGAAGGTTTCGCACAATTTGTCACGTACGACCTTTACAAACCGAAGCATCTCCGAAGAAGAATCGTAGCGTTGAGAAGGATCCGGTAAGATTTGGAGTCAAAGTGACGGTCGAATTGGGGTTTGACTTCAAAACTTTTTGTATAGGCAATAGACAACATAGATTGATTCACGTCAAATTTTGGTAATTTTTCGGATCCATTTTATAATTGTAATTTATTAACTGCAATAATAGAATTTTAATTGATATATATTGAATTTGAGCTATAACTGCATGAAATAATGGATTAATATTCGTAGAAAAATAAAATATGCATTGTTGAGTGAATTTGACAAGGTATTTTTAAATTATATCGTAACAAATTTAGTAAAACATGTTATGACGAAGGAGGATGGTTGGGCATGAAATATCAATTTATTTTGCCGAGTGTTAACTATACGACACTCGGCAACATACCCAAGCCAGCCCCACTTACCAGTACCGTATCAGTTAGGAAATTGAAAAAAACAATGTCGAGTGTTTTGAATCTGGCACTTGGCATACCTTTACTTTGCCGAGTGCCAAATCGCGGGCACTCGGCAAAGCCCTTTGGTTTTTACCCGATCCGGCCACACACTTACTCACACACACTCACACACTCAGCCGCACACACACGCACACCGGACCGCCCTCCGTGCCGCCGGAGCGCCACCCACCACCCCGCGCCGCCAGACAGCCCTCGGCCGCCGGGCCGCCACCCTCCGCAGCCGGACGGTCGCCCCCTGCTGCTGGGCCCCTGCCTTCCCGTGCCGCCGCCACCGGCCCCCGCCTTCCTGGCGTGCCGGCGCGACTCCCGGCCCCCCGGCGCGACGCCCCTCCCGCCGCCGCACGGTGGCCCGGCCACCCGACGCCCCTGCCTCCCAGCTACCGGTGAGCCCTTCCTCTCTCCTCCTTGTCCTCCCCAGATCTCCCTAGATCGAGCTTTTTTCCTTGTAAACATGGGCAGTTGAGGAATTGAATTGTTTTACTCTGTTTAGGATGTGTAGTTAGTTAAAAAGGATTAAAGGAGTTGGTAAGGTGAAGTGAAGGGAAAGAAATGTACTTAGGGGTAGTTGCATTCCCAGTAAAAATCACTGTGCCTTGCAATTTGCCCCTGTTGAGCAAATAATTGGAATGAATTATCAGTGAATTTATTGACACACATGATTCAAAGGATCAGTGTGAACTGTTGACAATTTGATTCCTGCAGTTCGACATGCTACTCTATATGTGTTGTGTTCACCAGTTTGCTAGCAAATACACTGACATTGTTTAGGAAAAGACAATTTCTTGCTGACTAGTGCATAGTAGTATTTTCAGATGTTAAGGGCACCCTAGTTTTTCCTTATAAAGTGCAGAAGGTTTGTAAAGTCAAAGCAAATGATACAGAGTTTGTGTGCACTGGAGACTGGAGCAGAGTGCAGACCCTTGGTCTATGTAGATGTTTTTGCACAAGGTGGAAATGCTTTATTCATATCCATGTTGTCGTGGTTGTATTAAGATGTGTATTTAGTTTGTTGACTGGATCTTATCCTATGGTGCCGAGAGAGAATTTGACATTCAAGTAATGCCGGTAGCTTATTGCCTGCCTCCTGCTGCCTCTGTGAAAAAACTGAAAATTGTTTTTGTCAGAAAGGACCCTTGTGCTGCTATCTGTTAGGCTTTCTGTAAAAAGCGGGGCAAGAGACGGCAGTTTTTTTTCTCGCACCCATTTCTTTTTTTATTATTGTCTTAACCTTTCAGCCTGTTCGCTTGTCATGGATAACCAAGACCAATTGGCTAATCTAATGTGACCTTCAGATTTTGTTTTATTTTACCTGATGATGTTGATGTGGTAGACAATCAAACTTTAGATAACAACATTTCTTTGCACAATAGCAATGCAAATCCATGACTTAGGAAAATGAAACACAAGCAAAGGATGAAGTCTAAAATCATGCAAAACAACTGTACAGAAAAAAGGTTTCCAACAATAGATTAGCCAATTGGTCTTGGTTATCCATGCTTGGCTTCTTATGTTGATGCTCAATTTGATTACACTCCTTATCATATGAGTCCCACACAAAGTTGATAATAAAACTCTAGGGTTTTTCTAAACATTTCTTGCTTGAATCTTACAACCACATATCAACTTGCAGGTTTTTGCTGCCGCTCCCTGCCCCGCCCTGCCGCCTGGTTCCGCCTTGCCCTCCTGCCCCCCCCCCACAACTTGCCGTCGTTTTGCAAGGTATAAAATGTGTATGTGGTTGTCGGCCATAGTGCTGTTTGTTGCCGAGTGTATGTGGTTGTCGGCCATTGTGCTGTTTTTTGTTGCAGGTTTTGGAAACCTCCCCTTACAGGAGAGGTGCTGCCGAAATTTAGATTTGACACTATTATGTTCCTTTTATTGCAGGAGAGACTATTGCAACGTCCTCGACTCATCACTTTGTAGGACAGCAAGGTGAGGCATAAAAGACCCTTCTTTCCATATCATGTTCGTATATCACGTAACCTAGCTAGGCGTCTCCCGTTCGAAAGAGATACGGTTGGAAATATGCAGATCTATAACCGTATCTGTTTCGAATTGTCCACGTTTTTTGGACAGCCCGAGGATGTGTAGATGCGGTTAGTTACATGCTCTACTCCGATCTGTGATAGAGTTTTGGCAGCATCTCCCTGTTGTTCTCCGGATAGACAATTTCCCTTCCAGGACGTGTATTTGGAGAACAACGTGTATTTCGGCAGCACCTCCCCGTTGTCCAAAAAATGTGGACAATTCGAAAAAGATACGTGAGCATAATAGTTGTTGGTAGCCTGCTCGTGGATGGTCACATCTTGCCAAAAAGCATGTATGAGGCACAGAAACTCCTTCGTGCACTTAAGATGCCATACGAGCAGATACATGCTTGTCCGAAGGGATGCATCTTATTTAGGAAAGATTATGCGGAAGAAAACTACTGTGTGAAGTGTGAATCATCTAGGTTCCTAGAGGTAGACTCTGGTGATGGTCAGAAGAGGCAGCTCGCAATCCCCGTGAAGATCCTACGGTACCTTCCTTTCATACCGAGGATCCAACGACTTTATATGACTGAGGAATCCACGAAACAGATGACATGGCACAAAAACGGACGTCGATACAATCCTGAGAAGATGGTACACCCATCCGATGGTGAAGCCTGGACAAGGTTTGATGTGATTCATTGTGAGAAAGCTCTAGAGGCTCATAATGTACGTGTTGCGCTGGCAACGGATGGGTTCAATCCTTATGGAATGGCGGCTGCCTTGTACACCTGTTGGCCCATGTTTGTTATCCCCCTCAATCTCCCCCCTGGCGTCCTCTTTCAACGACAGAACATATTCTTGTCGTTGATAATTCCAGAACACCCGGGGAATAATATGAGTGTGTACATGGAGCCTCTGATTGACGATTTGGTCCGTGCTTGGGAGGAAGGGGTATGGACATATGACCGAGCTACAAAGACAAACTTCAAAATGGATGTTTGGTACCAGTACTCCCTGCATGACTTGCCAGCATATGAGATTTTCTGCTGCTGGTGTGTTCACGGGAGGTTCCCATACCCGGTATGCAAGGCTTCTCTGATGTTCATTTGGTTGACGAAGGGTGGCAAGTATTCTTCGTTCGACAAACATCAACAATTCATTACGCTTAATTTCATTTTGTCATATGTCATACACTTGATGACGTAGGTGCCTCCGTACTGGTGCGCCCAGCATACCCAGTGCTGGGAATACATGGTGGACAAGTGGTTGGAGCTCGGGTGGGTGGAGACGCACAACGCTTGCCGGGACCAACGTTTGCTGATGCCACGTGCATCACACCATCAAGGCAGCCTGAGCCTCAACGAATACAGGGAAAAATGGGTACGCAAATTCATTTCTTTATTCTAACACTCAATTCTGCATAATTTCTAATTATTTTGCATTTTTGCCACAGCCGTCGTCACATGATGGCCAGCCTTGCTCCCGGTTCAAGGCATGGGTTCTGTCCAAAAAGGGCAAGGCGACGACAAACATCGACTTCAACCCAGAGGACCTGTCTGAGGCATACAACGATCCCAGCACCCATAGCCGCGTTAGTGAGTACACAGCAATGGCAAGGTTGGTTCATGTGCCGCAGTTCAATCCGAGCACCTAGGACCTTGATGGAGAAATCATGATGAGGGTGGGAGGAGACAAGAAGCATGGCCGGTACTGGATTGGCGACAGTACAATCGACACGACCTCTACTCCCACTCTCTCCCAGATCTGGGGAAGGAGCACGAGCGTGAGCCCAGCGATACGCCCACGGCCAACCGCTACACAGTTCCAGATGGAGGCTCTCCAGGTTATTTCTGTTTTATTCATCGTTCGTTGATTGTTACGTACTTTAGCTTTGCATTGTAACATTGGGATGAAATGTTATAGGCCTGGGTGGAAGCAGAAACGAAGCAACAGGAGGAGATGGAGGTGAGGATGGAGGAGATAATTCAACAGTGGGTGGTGGCCGAGCGGCAGAACATGGAGGAAGAACAACGGCGGACGATGCAGAGGATAGAGGAAGAAAATTGGTTGAGGATGGACCAAATGTTCCAATACATGCAGAATTTTGCATCGAGTATGTGTCAAGCTTTGCCACCGCCACCGGTGCTATTCCCTCGACCTCAGCCACCCACAACTACTCCTATGAGTCACTTTACACCTTATGTTACATCTATTTATTATTATTTTTTATGCCAACATATTAGATGGATGGTTACCTTGCAAGTTGATGATTTTTACTACATACATACATACTCATGCATACTGTAGTATAAAATACACTATATATATATATTATAATATCATATATGCTCGATCTAGAATAAATCATGGGGTGGCCTCCCGAAGTGGGACAGCGACTTGACGAATTCACTTTGGTTTCGCCGGTGCTAGTTGGTATGGTCAGTAATCATAGAAGGAACGGCTTGGATGAGAGCTCTTATTTTCCCTGTTTTTTCTTTTTTTTGTATCATTTTGTATTCATCCGCTACTCTCAAAGCTCGTAATATGCTGCCTTTGTTGGACATTAAATATTTAGAGAAACTACATGATCTATCACCCCAATCGGTGTTCACATAAACTTTGAAGTCCAAATAAAATATTAATACAAATCTTTGAACATGGCCCTGATTTTCTACTTTACATTCGTCGTACTGATAATACTAATTAACATTACAGATTTTTGATAGCTCCCAACTCTCAGTTAACTTGCTTTTGCACTAAATAAAAACTCACTAAAGAGTTTGTATTGCTTAACGAAATCAAGTCCACGAACTGTAAGTGTCATGACTGAACATCTCTGCTCATCAGGCACGTGAACCAATTTTGGAGCAGACTATGCTTCCCCTTTTCTGAAACTTAATGCAACAGGGCTAAACTATTTTCGTTCTCCGGCCATCAGACAAATGACCAGTCCAGTTGCTTTGCTCTTCCCAGCAAGAAAATAGCGCCAAACTCTTCTCTCCTGCTGCCGTTTCCCTCCAAGAAAGAGAGATGCTCATAGAATAAAGTAAAGAAAAAAAAGAGGCTCTCATCCAAGCCGTTCCATATCTATCTTGCAGTTAGCAGCAGTGACTGCACCGGATCTGCGGCGGCCAAAGTCGCTGCTGTAGGTGAGTAGGTCAGCGTGATTGGCTCTACGTTGCTGCAGCACATGTATGCACACGAATGCGATTCAAGCTCCTGGAACGAATACTCCGCAGCAGCTGCAGGCTGCAGCACACGGCCCAAGTGATGGCGAGGCGTAAGAGGCCTGCTAACTGAGACGTCGATGAACCATTATTGAGTTACTTGTCTTTTTTTGGCCTGATAACTGGATGAGTCTTGCAGTGAGTTTTTTATTAGTAATATATATACTTAGGTGCAAGTATTTTTTCAAGACACTACTTATACTTTCTGATTGTAGTGAGTTTTTTATATCTGCAGCTTACACATGCAATATCTTCTCTTTTGTGCAGAATCAATTGGCGGCATCAAATAATCAGTCTCAAGACCCGGATTTGTCGCAGTGGTTCCAAGGGCCTCCTCAGTGATTGCATTTGCATTTGTGGCTTATTGTGACTTAGTTGTGACTTGTGATGATGGTTTATTATGAATTGTGATGATGGTTTATTGTGAATTGTGATGATGGTTTATTATGCCTGTGACATACAATTATGCATGTGATGATGCTTTATTGTGAATTGTGATGGTTTATTATGAATTGAGAGGGGTCCGTCATACGGGACAGATTAGTAAAAAAGGGGATATTGATCGCTTTGCGAGGCGTTACGAGTGTAAGCCAAAACACTCGGCAAAGAGACCAATTTCTGTTATTCTGGGAACCTTTTTTGCCGAGTGTTTTGTCTTTGCCGAGTGTATTCTAATGGACACTCGGCAAACTGACCATGAAATCTGCCCGTTGCGCGCTTATTTGCCGAGTGTATTGGGCGTGACACTCAACAAAGTGTGTAAACTTTGCCGAGTGCTTTGGTCTTGACACTCGGCAAACTTTAGAAACGTTACCGAGTGTTTTGGGCTTGACACTTGGCAAACTTTATAAATGTTACCGAGTGTTTTAAATTGACACTGGGCAAAGTTTACAAACTTTGTCGAGTGTTTTGGGCTTGACACTCGGCAAACTTGAGAAACTTTGCCGAGTGTTTTTCCATCGTGCACTCGGCAAAATCGCCGTTCCCGTGCCATCCCGTTAACATTTTTTTGCCGAGAGTTTATTTTTTCCGAGTGTTTATTGACACTCGGCAAACTATTTGCCGAGTGCGCGATAAAAAACACTCGGCAAACTACTGTTTGCCGACACACAGATGCCGTGTGTTGTATGCCGAGTGTTACCCTCGGCAAAGCAGTTGCCGAGTGTTTTTGGGCCTTTGCGGGCACTCGGCAAAACTACTGTATCCCATAGTGTATGAGAAGGTTCTGGACTTCCTGCTGTTGAATGTTACTCCACTTTCTCTTGGTCTGGACACGGCTGGAGGTGTCATGACCTTTCTGATCCCGAGGTACACTACCATCGCCTGCAAGAAGGAGCAGGTATTCTCCACCTATTCAGACAAACAACCTGGTGTCCTTCTCCAGGTGTATGACGGTGAGAGGACAGCACCCAGGACCACAACTTGCTCGGCAAGTTTGAGCTCTCTGGCATCCCTCCCGCACCCAGCCAGGGGTGTTCCTCAGATCACAGTTTGTTTTGACATTGATGCGATTGTATCTTGAACGTCTCTGCTGAGGACAAGAAGACTGGCCAGAAGAACAAGATCACTATCACAAACGACAAGGGCAGGCTAAGCAAGGAGATTGAAATGATGGTCCATGATGCTGAGAAGTGCAAGTCTGAAGTTGAGCACAAGAAGAAGGTAGAGTCCAAGAACGCTCTGGAGAACTATGCGTCTATGCTTACAACATGTGCAACACCATTAAGGATTAGAAGATCTCCTCCAAGCTCGACGCAACTGACAAGAAGAAGATTGAGGACGCAGTTGATGGCACCATCCAGTGGCTTGATGGCAACCAGCTTGCTGAGGATGACGAGTTTGAGGACAAGATGAAGGAGCTCGAGGGCATCTGCAACCATATCATTGCCAAGATGTACCAGGGTGCTGGTGTTGACATGGCCTGTGGCTTGGACGAGCATGCACCATCTAGAGGTAGTGGGGCTGGCCCGATGACTGAGGAGGTGGACTAAGTGTGAAGAACAATTGTTGGTGTTTTCAGGTAGCCTGCATTATGTCTTTTGTTATGCTAGTGGTTCATTCTTGGATGTCATTTGTTATGCTAGTGGTTAATTCTTGGATTGTAGTGCTACCCTTATTATAGCTTTGTCTTTGATGGCTTTAAGCTAAATCTGTTGCGGATGTCTAGGACATATCCTGTCTAAATTGATATGATGGGCTAGTTAATTGTAACTTCACTGCATGCTTATTTCATCTTATTACATTCTTATTCATTCCTGTGTGATTTCCCTGGTTTTGAATGGCTTCGTCATTTTGTGTTGCCTGCTATTTCACTGAGTGAATTCTAACCAGGTTAATGCCCTTCTTGTGTCTGTTTTGTCATTTTTCTCCATCACAATGTTAAACTCCTTCTTCTGTGTGCTTATTAGCACAATTATCCAGCAGGGGAATGCATTCTCTACAAAGATGGTGCAATTCCTGTGTTTTCTTCTGAAGCCAAAAATCTACGTCTACTAGTTCATTGAACATCGTGATTGTGTGCTTCACAGTATGTGATCGCATATCTATTTCTTCTACAGTTACTCCATTGCTCCATTGCGTGCTGATTTGTTAAATATACTGTCTGAATCAATATGATGGACTATTGAGATAATTATTTGTCAGAGTTTTGCTTCTTTGATTCATGCACACAATTCTGTGCTTATGCCAGATTTGACCACCAGGCACTGCCTGTGTTCCTTTCTCTAATTGTAGTCAAGTTTCATGGTTTGACCCTGTCATTCGCAAGGTTTCATCAGCATTGTTATCTGGTGTAAAGTTCATGAGCTATGATGTAATCTTGTATGCATTTCTTGTAGCCTTAACAGCTTTGGTAATGGACTAATGGTAATGGTTCAGTGCGAGCCCATCTTGGTGGAAACCTGCACTACTACAAAAACTTTACTGGAGGCGGGCGTTTTTGGTTTTACGCGGCGGACAAAGCCGTCCGCCGCGGCCTAGAGGCCACGGTAAATCGTGTCTTAACCGCGGCGGGCGGCCTTGCCCGCCGTGGTTAACCGATTTACCGCGGCGGGCAGTGTAACGTGCCGGCCGCGGTAAATATACTTTTACCACGGCGGGCACGTTACACCGACAGCATTGGTTAATCGTTTGGAAAAAACCAAAAAAAAAACCCAAAGCCCACCGGCGAGCCCATTGACTGAGCCCACCGGCGAGCCCAATCCCAAACCGAAACCCTAGCGCCGCCATCGTCGTCCCTGGATCCAGCTGCAGCCGCCTCTGCAGCGCCGCTGCCGAAGATGAGGCCGGAAAGGAGGAGGGCGCCGAGCAGCCGCGCATCCGCGTGCGCCGCCACCGCAGCTCCGACGTCCGTGCCGGCTCTAGATCTAGGAAAGGGGAGAGGGCACAGTGAGGGAGACGAAGAGAGAAGAGCGAGGGAGACGAAGAGAGACCATGTTAGCGCCGTGGGGGCTGGATCTGGGCCATGGTGGCCGAATCTCATCGTCGTCATATGCAAAGGAAGAGGGAGAGGGAGATGAAGGAAGAGGGAGAGGGAGGCAAGTGCTGTACCTACCTCCACGCGCCGCGCGCCGTCCCACGCCCCACGCGCCGCGCCGCCGTGGATCCCCGCCGGAGCAGGTGCCGCCGCCATGGATCTGGCCCCAGCCGTCGTGGATTTGGCCCCAGTCACCGTCGTCGTCGTGGACGCCCCAGCCACTGCCGCCCCGAGGAGGGAGGGGGAAGGCCGCCGTCGTGGATCCGCGCCGTGGTGAGGCCAGATCCGTCGGGGACGCCGTGGTGGACGCCGCCGCCACCTTGCTGTGGCGGTCCTTGCCGCCGGCCACGGCGCGCACCACCGGGTATGCCCGCCTTGCAGTGCCATCACCGGCGTCATGGGGTGGAGAGGGAGATGGAGGCTGGCCGGAGAAGAGGGGCGGCGCGCCGAGACGGTGTGAGGGAGAGGGGCACGAGTGAGAGTTGGAGGAGAGGGAGCAGGGGCGCCGTGTGGATCTGAGAGTGAGAGGGAGCCGATAATCGCGATGAAGGGGATCGGGTGCTCACGGAGGCGGAGGGAGGGAGTTCGGCTGTGGCTGGGAAACCCTAAGTGTGCCTATTTATACCTGGAGTGGCTATCGGGCTTCGTCTTGGGCCGGTTGGGCCGGGCCATTTTCCATGGCGGGCCTTATAACGCGCCCGCCTCGGAAAATCAATTTACCGAGGCGGGCACCTTAAAATGCCCGCCTCGGTAAATCGATTTTTCGAGGCGGGCAAAAGTGCCCACCACGGTAAATAAAAAACACCTGCCTCGGTAAATCGTGGGATTTACCGTGGCGGGCTAAAATAGGCGTCCGCCTCAGTTAAGTTTTTGGGGTGTCTCGCAAAATCGTTTCTGTAGTAGTGCTGTTTTTTTTGTCGCTGTTGAATTTTACTATTTTATTCATATACTGCATTGAAAGTATTGACAACTCCAAAACAATTCTTCAGCGAGGATCATGCCACCTCAACATATATTGTTTAGCAACTAACACTTAAGATACTGAATCTTAGATTTACATCCGAATTATCTTGAAGAAATCAAACTATGTGCAACTCAGCCAAATTAGTTTACAAATATAGGAGACAATAAACATACATATGCGAGATTCCAAGAAGGAAAATGTGTTCAAAAACACTTTTTTTTTTCTAGGACAACAACTGATTGTTGACAATTGTGGATGTCCTCTCGTCAGGTTGTATCAATACTCAGTTTAATCGCCATATCGAACGATGCCTGGCTGTGCGTGTCTGTGGTGGAATCAAAGCTTTTCCTCATGCTATTCACACAAGTATTTGATCGTATCAGTGATTTATGCATGGAGGTTAGACTACTCTGTAATGCATGTAACGAACTGGAGTACAAGCAACAGCTACGAGCCCAGTGAAATTAATGCAAATTATTACTTCTATGCATGAGCTACCTTCGATGCAGCTTGTATTGCGCAGTCCTCAGTCTTCACCTCGATCAATATTAATCTGAACTTGCATATTTCAATCTCTGATGCAGACAATGTTGTGTTTTCTAATGTGGCTGATCTTGTTCCATTCAGAGCTACCAGGTCATAAGGAGGATGCACGTAGCTTCTTGTTGCAAATCAACTCGAGATACTTTGGGCTTACATCTCGCAGCTATTCCGGAAGCGTGTCCATGGTGGGGTCCTCCAGTTCAAGGCTGTCGAGTGCTGGTACACCTTCTAGAACCTCCAGCTTCGTGCAGTGAACGATCCTAATCTTCTGCAACATGGGGAGTCCGCTGATCCTCTTCAGCTCAGGGCAGTCAAACACATCAAGATCCACAACTGAAGGGAAGTTCTCCACATGTGTCAGGTTGGAGAGCTCGTACAGGTATAGTTCTCTAAGAGTATGCCTCTTGGTGCTGGCGAGGCCTGGTGGAAGACAGCTCGGCTTGCAGTTGTCGATTTGGAGTTTCTCAAAACAAGGCATGGATATGGTAGTTTCCACATCCCTATGCTCCTCACAGTCGTTCCATTCCCACTCTTCCCACTCACGTAGCCCAACCATATTCAGTCTTCTCAGTTTCGGAAACGGTTCAGATGTACTAGCATCGGAACCTCTAGTTGCCACGGAGGATGACACGCTTGGAATTGGGGGCCAATACGATTGATGGCTGGCGCGTCTATGATGATCAGTCCTTCTAGACTTGGGAGGCAGCACAGACCATCAGGGAGCTGGGTGCAGCAAGGCAGGTTCTCCATCCTCAAATACCTTAGGCTCTTAAAGTCTGCCGACGCTGGAGCACACAGCCAGTTCGGTAGCTGGCGACCAATGTATCCCCCTTGAACAACTAGAGTCTCTAGGCAGGTTGGAGGGCAGAGCTTTTCCAAGACTTCCTCGGTCACACTTTGTTGTTGCTGCTGCTCTGCCTCAGCACCACCTGTCCCTATAGTATGTCCACCAAGAGTATGTCTACTTGCACTGTAGTTCAATTCTATATACCCAAGGTGGCACTTGCTGCTAATCATGGCATTTCCAGCCATCCAGCTCTCATGCACCGTCTCTAGGCCATATAGTGTAAGCTTTCTAAGCTGAGAAAGAGGTGCCAGCTCTTGCAAACTGCACCAGCTACTACCACTAGCATGCATGTGCATTTGCACTGGGAACCCATAAAGTAACCTTAGATTTGTTAACCCACCAAAACCCTTGGGCACTGCACTGATATTTGAACTACTGGTGTCAAGAGATCTCAGATGCACAAGTATAATGTTTTTGCTAGGAAGGTGGCCCAATTTCTTACAGCCATGTAGATGAATGTAAAGTAGAAACTTCATCTTGTGGATGTCATCTGGTAGTATAGATATATCAGTATCCTCTAGGTGAAGGTATCTTAAGTGCTTCAGCTTTGATACAGAGGGAACCAAGGTATCTGAGTTAACAGACCATATGTACAGTACCCACAGACAAGAGAAACTACCTAGCAAATCACCAGGAAGATGAAAGTTTACTCTAGAATTTATAATTAATGTCCTAAGTGATTCTCGCCTTTGCAAAATGCCCCATTCCACTACTGATACGGTCTGTTCTACAGAGAGGCGACGGACATGAATCCCACCGCCACCAACACCACCGGTAGCAGCCTGTTCTCTACCAATCACCACTAGTGGTTCTTCTCTTGCCACATATTCAGGAAAGGTGCGGACCACATCATGCATGGTGCACCCGTATGCGGTGAGAATATTCTTTTGTAGGTTGTATAAGGTACCTCTTTATTAACTCTCGGTAGTACTCAGTTGCCATCTCTTCGAACTCATACTCTTGTGAAATAGTACTACTACCATCCAAAGCGTGGATAAATCCTTCACTAATCCACATTTGAGTTACTACATCTCTAATGATTTCTTCACCATTAGGAAATAGTGAGCAGTACAGAAAGCATTGCTTTATCTGGGGAGACAAGTCCTTGTAGCTCAAGTGAGGCAGTCCGGTCAGTGACCAAGCTGACTTGTTCAAAACAGAC